CCCTACAATGTGACATTTTTGTGAACACAGGGACCAGCTGGGCCCCCTCCAACACCTCCGGTCCCATCCTCGGACGCCCAGCGCACCCGTCTGCTCCAGCACTGCCATGTGCTGCCTAGTCACCTGCCCGTTTTTGGGAGGTAAAAACATGTGGAATTCTCCGCTGCAAGATCCTTCTTTCCGAGCTGAATTTACCAGGCTCCAGAAAACTGGCTGTTCCAGGGAGGGTGTAATGAGAGTGGTTACCCCATCTGTTTGACCCAGCAGGATATTACAACCCCCTTGTAGATGGTCTGTCAACCTGAAATGTGACTGACTGCCTGGCAAAAGACCTGTCCCAGAACTGGTATGTCTCTTGTCAGGGTTTCCGGTTGCTCTTAGCCAGCCCCCGTGCCTGTTACAAACTCTTGACAGAGAAGCAGGAAGAGGGCTATGGAGATGCCAGGCTGTTTGAAGGTAGGTTAGCTCATCTCTCTCTCTCTCTAAGAGTATGTCTACACTTGCACCCTCTTTCGAGAGAGGGATGCAAATGAAGACATTTGAAATTGCAAATGAAGCTGGGATTTAAATATCCCGCATTTCATTTGTTGTGTTAGCTCATCTCTCTCTCTAAGAGTATGTCTACCCTTGCACCCTCTTTCGAGAGAGGGATGCAAATGACGACATTCGAAATTGCAAATGAAGCTGGGATTTAAATATCCCGCATTTCATTTGTTGTGTTTTGTCACGACTTTCCCTGGGGAAATGAATCCACTTTCTGACCCACAGTAGCTCTGTGCCCTCATTATATATACAGAGAAATGGAATTCATTTTCTGCAGGGGTAGAATCCCAGTGCCATTTCAGAAAAGCTTTGAAATCCACTCTGATGGTGGGGAGGGGTACTACCCTTTTCTAGACGTCCCAGTAGGATCACTTGGGGTGTGTCTAGACTACAGGGTTTTGTTGACAAAAGTGGCCTCTTGTCGACAAAACTATACCTGTGTCTACACTGCCACTGAGTTCTGTCAACATAATGTTTTGCTGCTTGCTGCCCCGGGCACTCCAGGGCCAAAGCACACCCCCCAGCAGCCAAGCTCCCCCTCTGTCCCACTCCCCCCAGTGCCTCTCAGCCACTGCAAATTTGTAGTGTTCAAAGAGCTCCGGGAGGGCGGGGGAGAAGCAGCGCAGTCTGGGAAGGAGACAGGAAGAGGTGGGGCAGAGGCTTTGGGGAATGGGAGCAGGGCCTGGGGCAAGGAGAGACGCCGGCACCTAGGCCCCCAGGCTGTTCTCCTGTGGGGCTGCTTCAGTACAGACAGAGCTGGAGGAGAGGCAGCCCCATAGAGGAGCTGGGGGGAGGGGGGGTTTCAGGGTCTTTTCCATAAATATCTTGCTGCTACGGTAGACCGGACCGGTCCGCACCAGCCGACTTGCACTGCTGGTCGGAGAGTCAAAAGAGCAAGAATCTTTAAAAAGTCAAATTTCCCTATTGGTGTCAAAATCCCCTTTTCAACATGGCCGCCTTTATTCTGAGCAGGTCTGGCCCCCTCTAGGCCTCATCTCCAGTCTTCCACTGCTTCCAGCACAACAGTTTCAGATGCAACAGTGAACAGTCCGCCCACTGGCCCCTAGAGAGACAGACGGGGACTCGATCGGGTTACCCGAATTCCACCCCCATCGCCGAGTTGTTGCCCTGTCCCCACCTGAACATAGTCATTGTCCCGCCGCAGGCTTTCATTGGCCAGAATCTCATCTATCGTTGTCGTGGGGACCGTCTCCAACCCTGTAAGAAGAAACAAATTTAACAAATGAGTGAAAATCCAGGCATTAATTGGGGTGTGTATGTGTGAACCACGTGTGTCCACGGAGAGATCTAAGAACCCCGCATCCTTCGTTAACTCGGCATGATTGGGGACCTGGCAACCACACTGATCAGTGGGTTGAACACACATGCACACATATAGTTTTCAGTCAGTTACAAACGCTGTTTCGGGTTTTACCGGAGTCTGTGCAATGGAGCTGGCCAACAATTTTCAAAGTATTCATCTTTTGTGACAGACGGCTGGCTAAGCCAAGCTCTGCCCCTACAGCCTGGCTGAAAAGGCCAAATGGAAGCCAGCTGAGCAAACCCAAGCCTGAAGGGCTAATGGAAGCAGCTATGGGCCTCATTAGCCAGAGGGCTAGATAAGGTAGCCAGAGGGGAAGGAGGAGGAGCCTGGGGGTGTGTCTAAACTACACGTCTCCGTCGATGGAGCCATGTAGATGAGGCTGATCGGCAGAGGGAAATGAAGCCACAATTTAAATAATCGCGGCTTCATTTAAATGGCTGCTGCGCTCTGCCCAACTGGCAACTCTAGATTTCTCTTACTGCAGCTTGCTGTACTGTATATTCAGGTGATAGTCTAAAACCTACTTAACTAATTAAAAAAGCCACAAAGATTAGCCAAGCTAGCTTTTTTTTCTAGCAACATCCAACATAGCAAACAGCTTGGGAATTTACCTGTTAAATCACACTGTGACAGATTGCTTGCTAAGCCAGAGCTGTCAGCCTGGCTGAAAAGGCCAGTTACAGCCAACTGAGCAAGCCCAGGCCTGAAGGGCTAATGGAAGCAGCTGTGGCCCTCATTAGTCATATAAGGGCTATATAATGCAGCCAGAGGGGATGTGAAAAGGGAGGTGCAAAGGGTGTGCCTGAGGGTGCTCCCAAGCCAGAAGAAGAGGCTGGCTGAGTTTGCTGTGAACAAAAGTTCTGTAAATAGAAGGTGGTGGTAAATTGGCACTGACAAAACAATATATGGAGATATACATATCTCAGAGCTGGAAGGGACCAACAATAAATATATGGAGATATACATATCTCAGAGCTGGAAGGGACCTTAAGAGGTCATCAAGTCCAGTCCCCTGCCCTCATGGCAGGACCAAGTACCATCCCTGATAGATTTGCCTCAGATCCCTAAATGGCCCCCTTAAGGATTGAACTCACATCCCTGGGTTGAGTAGGCCACTGAGCTATCCTTCCCTGCCCCCCGGCACAGGCAACTGCACCAGAAAGGGTCTCAGGTTGATTTGTGACCCAAGAAGGGGTCTCAAGCCAAGGGGTCTGGGCAAGGACTTTGCCGCACTTTGTCAACATTTGAAATTTTGACCAAAAACACTCCCCAAGCCCACAACACTTCCTTGCTATTTCCACCTCTCCCCCACCAAAAAGTTCTACATCTTGGTTGCCAGCCAGTTCTCATCAAGTGAAACAACTTGAGTATGGAGAAGACCTGTACATGTCCAATGGAGGGTGTGATGAAAAGGGCGCACCTCTCCCATCCTAGACATCCCAGCATCATATATATAGTAGCCCAGTGTCTGTAACGCTGACGTACACGGCCACGCCCCCTGCCCCCTTTCCCCTCCCTCCATGGCGGTTTGGCCCAGCGCTGACAGAGGGGGAGCTTGGCTGCTGGGGGGTGTGCTTTGGCCCTGGAGTGCCCGGGGCAGCAAGCAGCAAAACATTATGTTGACAGAACTCAGTGGCAGTGTAGACGCAGGTCTAGTTTTGTCGACAAAAGGCCTCTTTTGTCCTCAAAACCCTGTAGTCTAGACACACCCCAAGTGATCCTACTGGGACGTCTAGAAAAGGGTAGTACCCCTCCCCACCATCAGAGTGGATTTCAAAGCTTTTCTGAAATGGCACTGGGATTCTACCCCTGCAGAAAATGAATTCCATTTCTCTGTGTATATAATGAGGGCACAGAGCTACTCTGGGTCAGAAAGTGGATTCATTTCCCCAGGGAAAGTCGTGACAAAACACAACAAATGAAATGCGGGATATTTAAATCCCAGCTTCATTTGCAATTTCAAATGTCTTCATTTGCATCCCTCTCTCGAAAGAGGGTGCAAGTGTAGACATACTCTTAGAGAGAGAGATGAGCTAACCTACCTTCAAACAGCCTGGCATCTCCATAGCCCTCTTCCTGCTTCTCTGTCAAGAGTTTGTAACAGGCACGGGGGCTGGCTAAGAGCAACCGGAAACCCTGACAAGAGACATACCAGTTCTGGGACAGGTCTTTTGCCAGGCAGTCAGTCACATTTCAGGTTGACAGACCATCTACAAGGGGGTTGTAATATCCTGCTGGGTCAAACAGATGGGGTAACCACTCTCATTACACCCTCCCTGGAACAGCCAGTTTTCTGGAGCCTGGTAAATTCAGCTCGGAAAGAAGGATCTTGCAGCGGAGAATTCCACATGTTTTTACCTCCCAAAAACGGGCAGGTGACTAGGCAGCACATGGCAGTGCTGGAGCAGACGGGTGCGCTGGGCGTCCGAGGATGGGACCGGAGGTGTTGGAGGGGGCCCAGCTGGTCCCTGTGTTCTGAAAAATGTCA